CCGGCACCGATTATTTTAATTAATGTTTTTTTACAAACAAAATCAAGGTTTTTCCAACGCAACAAAAGCTGGCAACCACCATAGAGAGGCACGTTTGAATTCACGAAAGGCGGATACGTATCTGGCTTGCGGGTGACGAGTACAGAGTGACTCGACTCTTGAGAAGTCCGTTAAAAGGTGCACGATGACTTTCGCAATGCCGAGTCGAGCCACGCGCGAAACGGCGTCCCCTGAAAAGCGATTAAAATAATAGGGACCCCCCAAATGAGATTCGCAAGCGTGATTATTTCGTGTGAGTGATGATTGCGTCGCTCCCGAGAATATACCACACCGAGCAATCGTGCGGGCCAATCAGGTTAAGAATTATTAAAAAAAAGTTGTACGGCGAAGTTGAATAAAGAAAAAACAGAAGCTTCGAAAAAAAATGAGCAAACAGCACAGCGGCGAATTACAAGCCCGACTTGAAAAACATACAAAAAAAAGAAAAACAATGTGAGTATCGGTATCCACGACTGGGGTCGGGTAATATTCTCGATTACCCGATAGGGCGCGGTTTTATGTATCGTATACGCGGTTTATTATCAGAACGCAATAAAAAGCGCAAATAGCTATCTCTTCCATTAGATGTACGCTTTTCCCGAGGGCATATCAATCCATGATACAAAGTTTTTCTCTAACTTTTCCAATAATTACGATTCTGCCAGACTTTTGTTTTCCATTTGTTTGTATTGTTTTTTTTCGGACAATGATAAAAATGGTTTTTTTTTTTTTTTTTTTGCGTATTACTAGATTTAAATAACATAATATATAATGGTACTGCTGATAAAACGTTTGAAAAATAACTAAAANTTCACCATTCAATATATTTATTATTATACTAGTGAAAAATATTTGCTAGATAAGTGTCTTTTTCTAAAATTTTCACAATTTCAGATTAAACACAATTTAGAACTCTTTAGTTAACGACTTGATAAAAATCATAATTACTATTTTCCAAGTATAATGCGTCATCAATGACTAACTCATAAAATGTCAAATTTCATAAATATCTATCTTATTTAGATATATCTAAAATATTACTGATAAATGTTTACGGAATTTGTATCATCGATGACGCATTACACTTGGAAACAAATAACTTTGTTTCTTTTATAAACTCGTTAATAGAAGAATTCTAAGTCGTGTTCAGTTCAAAGTTTAAAATTTTCGTAAAATAAAAATCCATCCACATTTTTAGCGCGTAATACGTTTAACGTTGTAGGGAACTGAGGATTTAATGATTTTGAGATTTCACTAATAAAACTACTCGTATTTTATAAAATATTTTTTATGTCGGATAACCACTCCGATTTTAAAAGCAAACATTCTCGTTTATTTTCTTTTCCTACGTAAACTCTTTTAAATTTTTTTTACCATCTTGTTTTTTTTCTTTATTTGTCATTTTTTACCCAAAATAAAATATGTATTGTATTCTATGTACTAAAATCTTATCGTATCAAATGACTTATAGTTCAAGGGAAAAAAAAACAGTTTGTAGTTTCCGTATTCTACTGTATGTAATATTTTTACCAACTTACATACCTATGTAATTTACGTATATTATACATGGAGACACCTATGCTTATACCATACAAATACACGTAATTCCAATGGCATCCTACGATAATCGATACACCAAATAATAGTCACCAATTAACGAAAACAACCCTCCATCCTGACTGAAATCTAGGTCGGACCCTCGATACTCGACAACATCGACAACAAACGACGTAGTTCCCCCATCCCCCAAGGCAGCGATACAGCTGTACCCATCCGTCGAATTAATTGATCCCCACTCGCGACAATTAAAACGCCGTCGCTCGCGCGCTTCGTTGCTTATTCAAGTGCACCGAATCTCGGCGACCCGACGATTCTCGGCAATTAAGTATACCATCGCACCGCTGCTGCGAGTTCCGCTCGGAAGGTATGTGTCGCGATGATTGCGCTCGGATCAATTAAGGGGGTCGAAAAAAAAATTCAGATTTTCCCTCCCAGTGATCACAAAGGCAGCCCAAACTGCTTCGTATGCGCTGGAGAAGTTTGTCCCCGAACGATGTGGACTTTTTAGGCGGCGTATATTGTATACATAAAAGTTTCTTTCTCCAATTTGCATCTAAAAGGCTCGACTTTTGCACCATATCTTAGGAAAAGTGGAAACTGAGACACGGAAACGTAAAAAATTCCCCTGCTATCATACCATGCTTCATTAAATTTTTTGAAAGATACCACGTGCATCGAAAAGAAGTTCGCGGGCGCGCTATAAAAATACATTTGCCTGGGTGAAATGCCTGATGGCGAAAAAAAAAAAAAAAAAAAAAAAAAGTGAATTACATCCTCAACATTGGTACTCGACATTGAGATCAACGCACGCACCAACTCGAAACAAGTATCATAAACTAAGAGGTGCGTGGCAGTGATTTTTTAGTTTTTAGAAAACAAGCTTATTTAAAAAAAAATAATACAGTAACAAAAAATTAGGTAGTTATAAAATAAAAGCACGCTTTATTAACATTACCTAGAGCGCAGGCCGGAAATTCGGTGTACGCTACCTCGCACTCGTCCTCGAATATGTGCTGTATACTTACATACAACACGGTATAAAAATGTTGTGTGCGGAACAAAGATAAAAAATAAGTAGGTATAGCCCGCCGATTCTTCATTATTCGGCGAGGGCTGGAGGAGTTTACGGTATTTTGGCTTCTAGGGGGATCGTATCGCGCACCAACTCTTTCGCTGGGGAGGCCTGCCTTTTTTTCCCGTGACGAGGCTCGTGTGAACTTTTTTGCACGGGAACGCAAAGTTTTGCTCGTTGCGAAGTAATTAACGACGCTCGCGATCCCGAGATATTTCAGGCTCTGAAAAGTGCTGTTTTGAGTTTTTTTTAACGGGGGGTGCGAGAAAGAGAACTCTACAGGAGCTCCCGTGCTTCCGTATTGCTTGCATATTATTTTGAGAAAATTACTTCGACATTGTTTCAAGCTCTGCACTAGGATTTCCTTTTTCGTATGCCCTAAATCTTCTATTATAATTATTTATACTTTCCAGGGATGTACAGTAAAGTTGAAAATGGTTTAACAATTTAAATTATAAATGTATGCCATCCTCCTAAAAAAAAATAATAATAATGATTTCAATCAAGATGGAATAAAAAATGTTTAAACAAGTATTACAATTAATTTCAATGAATACTCAAAGTATCCAAAGAGAATACTTAGTTCTAAATATGTTTCGTAAATTTACGAAAAAAATTTTTGTTTGATTCTGAATGAAAAAATTACATTAAAAAATTGGGAATGTATTTGTAATTGATAATTTGCTTCAAGCACATTTAAATTTGAAATTATTTAAAACAAGTATTTCTCTTGATTTAATGAATTCTCATGTACTTATTTTTGAATTATGTTGTTCTGCATTACACATATTTTTTACAAACTGATAAAGAATACACAAAATAGTGGCATCGCATTCCATATCAATATCGGAGGTAGTTTATGAGTTTTACTTACGCTTTATGAATATTATAATACATCAACCCCGAGAAAAACAAGAGTTTTCCGCGATTCCAATCTCGTTTGCTGCATTTCTGCAGCTATTGTTATAAGCTCAAAACACTAGTATAACTTTTGATCTGTATTATTATTATTATTATTCAGTTCTTTCTGCATTTTTTAACTAGTGTATTTTTAATTTCTGACCAGCCACTATCGGAAAAATCTAAAATGTAACAATGTAAATTTTTATAAATGAAATAAAAAAAGTTAATAATTTCAAAAACATCAAAAAAAAGTGTCACATCGGGTACGTAAGCATAAAAAATCTGAATTTTAATTTTTGTTTAAGAACCGTTTACCAGATCCTTTTTTACGGAATCTCTCACGTATCCTCTTCAGGCCCCTGGTAAACGTGCGGCTAAGTCGATCCCGAAAGTTTGGTTGCCTGAGGCGAGGCGCACAATTAAGTGCACTTTCTGCAGCAGGACGTGCAAAACTTTGCGGTAAACCAGCTGCGGGCAATGCCATTTTTCATATTTTCCTCGGAAAAATAAAATAAACTCTAATTTTCTTTTTCGTGCTGGCTAACAGCTTCTGCGACAAATTTCGTGTCTTTGTTCTTTTCCCTGCACCACGAAGCGAAATAATACTTTTTCTGTGCGTTTAGGAGAAAAATTTGATAGGATACGGCAATAGTCTTACTCTCTGAAACTTTGCTATCTTTAATGAAGGCGAATTTGCGATTATCGACGGAATAATTATTATTTTTTTTACTTTGAATAAAAATGGTTTTTTTTTTTTTGTGGAGGCATAACGCAGACAGGCACAACGCAGGGACAGCGATAGTGTGGGACTTGGTGTTTTTTTATGTAACCACGCAACACTTGCACAATATGCAATTTAGAAACGAATGGTAAACATTTTGTTAACCACGTTGCGAAAAAAATTATTTTTAGTCTCCAACGAGCACGGGGATCCATATGTCGTTCCCTCGAAATTCCCATTTGCAATGCCACAGCTCGAGCTTAACAAAAAAATCGCCCCACTTTCCTTAATAGCCCCTCATCATCGTCTTCCTCAAAACGGCACCCCAATAAACATACGTGTCCATTTCGTCTCTTCTATTTTTTTTTTTTTTTTTTTTTTTTTTGCACCGTCGTATCATCCCTCGAGCCAAGTAGCCCCAGACAATAGACACGTACATGCCAAGCGGTCCATCAATCCAGCCAAAAGTATATCTTCTTATTTCCCGCCAGCCAATAACCACCCAAGAAAAACAAACAACATCGTCAAAGACGATGGCGAACGGGGGCGTACATGTACTAGGGGTATATACGCACAGAGCCGTGGCAACGCGCCGTGCTGCTGAGCACGTGTAGCGGCTAACGGGGCGCCCGAGAGCGCAGCAGCCTTACCTCCGGTATTGGTCCGCAGTCAGTCAGTCCTCGGACGGCTGCCGCAACGCACGCACGCGCTGCTGGTGTCGAACTTTTTCTCACTGTGCTATCCATACCATTGCATTTTCACGAGTTGTTGTTATAAAATTTCACCGTCTGTACACGTGCATACGTTGCTCCTCTTACCTATACTTTGGATTCGGTCTGGGGTGGATCGGCTCGTTTGCGCTTTGTGGCTGGCGGCTTTTGCTCTCATCAGTAGACAGCGGTGAGTTGAATTTTCTCGTTGGCTGAAAAGTATTTATTTTATTCAAATTCCCGTGCAAGACTTTGAAGCGCGAAACCTCCCTCGGTGCGTGCAAGCCTCACTGGCGTTAAACACGTCAACGTGCACGTATACCAACACTGCGCACCGTGTTTCCGGAACTTTTTTAATCCCTCGGTCCATTCTTCTCCCTTCGCGTGCTTAGAGAGAGCCGAGAGTCATTTTTCATACGCGAGGCTGTACTGTTCGCGCGCCTTTTCTTGCTTCTTCCGCTCCGCTGCGCCTCTCCTCGTTTTCTCTTCCCTCGGACTTTGCTCGAGCCCGAACTTTGCTCGGTGATGTCGCGAAATTAGTAAGCCCAGGTGAAAATGGGGTCGCTCGTTTGTGGGGGGGGGGGGGGAATAAAAATTGTGTCTTTCTCAGTCCCCTGTTTTGCAGCTTCGGTTCAATTACTGTTACGTGCGACAGTTTTATCACTGTATGAACAACAGAGTTCGGTTTTTTTCTTTTCTTCTTCTCTTTTTGGTTCACTACACAAGCCTTAAATAAATATACTTTCGAATTCATCTCCGATGACCGTTACATTTTACGATTGAACTACTCATTCAAGTAATAAAAGATACAAAATCTGCCTTCAATGTACATTCCTACCTCGTTCAATACTCTAAGGAAAGGTTTGCTTTCGCGTATTCATGCCCAAGGAGAAAAAGGTATCCCAGAGACACCGCCCTGTTTACACAGTTCACTTTGATTCGATTTGCATTTCTGAGTAAAAAAATACGCAAATACGCGCGGTTGAACTAGCAAACACAAAAAAAAAAAAAAAAAAAAAGAGTGCATCGAAGGGAGGGAGCACGAAAACAGCGCTCTTACGATAAAAGTCGTCTCAGTAATTACGAGACGCAAACCAGCGATCTCGAGTGCAGAGCTCAAAGAGAGCCTTGGCTGAATGGAAAAAAAGGCAAGTGCCACAAGTGGCGCACTTCCAAGCTGACAGTCACAATGCTCAAGTTTTCTCTCTCCCCTTTGGCATGCGTTTGCTCGAAAAAAAAGTCCCGTGTGGGGCAAGGCTCGTCTTCCGCAAGACGTTAGAGCTTCTTTATCACGTTTTATCGGCTGTACTGACAAGAGTTGCATGACGCGTGAAAAAACAATCGTGGCTACCGTCGAGCTTCGATTTCATCTTACCTCGACAATCAACGCGTTTCTATTTCTTTTAATCCATTTTTTTTCTATCACTACCATTGTTATTTTCGTTTTACTAATCGGTGATAAGATTTTTTCATTAAAACTATTACATGTTCATTGAACACCAAATGATAAATTTCACAAAATACAGGTCAATGGACACCCGCAGGATGAATTAATGAAAAAATTAAACAAAAAAAAAAAAAAAAAAAAAAAAAAAAACGTAAAATATGGAGCACAGCAACCAGTCATGCGTACAGAACGCCATTTACGTATACGTGCGCACACGCGATAAAAAACATTCTAATTTAATTAAATTTCCGGCATGATTTCAAGCGTGCGTGAAATTCGTCTTTCGCGTACCTCCTGCCCTCGGTATTGATGCTGGGTCTTTTCTCAGCAGCTACGCCCGTACAAGCGAGACGCGCGCTCTAAAGAAGGCACACAAAGCCCGGCTTTTTTCGCGAGCGAGTGTTTTTCACGCGGTAATGAAAATTATCGGCTCCTCGCGTGTGTTGCACAAATCTCGTCTCGCAGTCACTCGAGAGCAGAGGGCACGCCTAGTTTAAAAAACCAACCGACTGGCTCAACAATATTTTTTTACTCCACCTATATCGGTGGCAGAACCACGGCTCGCACGAGCGAACTGTGCTTGAACAATGGCCTTTTCTCTCAGCCGTTGGTAAATTTTTTCCATTGACTCCGCATTGAGAAATACCAGTGAATCAATGCGTGCGCGCTTCGCAAATCTATTTTAACAAATACAGGCCGCGCGACAAAGTTCCGGAGAATAAGTAGTACGAGTCGGCGTGCAGTCAGACACGCGTGGGAATCGAGCAGGGGGCGGCTCAACGAGAACGCGGGTGGGTGGTTTTTTTTTCAAGGGAGCCCGCAGTTGTGCGTCACCGAAGGATACTTTGGAACTTTGGTGTCGACGCCGTTACGGGGAAATTCGACGCGAAGCCGCTGCGTCACAGCACGTCTCGTACAAGCAAGTGCCTCGAGTTGTAAGAGCATTAGTTTGGGTTACGGATTTCGATAGACCCTCCAGTCGTTCTCGTTCGAGTGATCGATAGTTAACCTGTTTTGGCAATTAATTTCATGCTGCGCGCGTCAGTGAGATCAATTTTATTCGAAGAGGGGGTAGGGTTTAAAATCCCACAAACTTTTTCAATCACTTCGGGCCTCGATTGGGATTCGGAGGAAAAACACGAAAGCAGCACGCGACAGAGGCTTCACGAGAGCCAAGTCTGGACGCTGGAGAATATATTTTTCAATTTGAATTTCAAAGCAGCCCGGGAGATTAGTTGCCCGCGCGAGAGATAACGGACGAGAGCGGCGAAAATTTTTCAAGCCGCCACGCGTAATCCGTGGACATGAACGATTAATCGTCACGGGCGATTGCAACGCAACGAAGCGGTAAAACAAATCAGGCGTAATGACTCGAGCTGCTTTAGCTCTGGAAAACAGTCTCGCGGTGCAAAAAGTTCGAGCCAACCGAGGGGGGGAAACGTAAAAGGATGCTTCTCCAACCACCTCGAGATCGATGTGCGAGTTTTTATGTACACTAGGAGAGTGACACGGCAGGCAGGAAGGGATTCTTTCCTTGTACGGACAATGTACAATGTTATCATGCGTGGGGTGCGAGTGCGGTGCGTATACTTTTTTTTTTGCCCTCCATCCCCTCGCTTTTTTTTTTCTCGCCCGTCATTGTTTGGCCGTTGCGGGCGAGAACAGTTGTGCACACAACCTTTCAAGGATACTCCTGATAATGGCTATTTCATTGTTGTCTCTGGAGTAATGGAAAAAAAACAAAAGGAACAAAAAGCCAACAATATTTTACACTCTTGGTCTAAATATACTTTTCACTGTATGGAGCGAACATTAAATTATTACTGTCAATTGACGGCAATCTTATTTCTCTCCCTTTTTTCCGACCGAACGGAGATGGATAGTAATTTCTAAGGTCCCTCGAGGGACTCGGCCTCGGCACTTGACGAAGAAACGGGAGTAATCACCCGAGAAACATTGATAATTTTTCCAAAGAGCACTAAATAACGGAAAAGAGAAGAAAGCGAACCTCTTAAAACTCTGGCCCCTTTTTCGACTCTCAGTCATTTCTTGCACTCGAAAAAGAATCTCAGCCGGAAGATAACGGAGGCACAAAAGCGAAAAGAAATAGCGAGTGCAGGGGAAATCTATACACGAGGTAATGCAACAGGATAAAAAAGAGGATGGTAGGAATACAAACGAGAAAAAGTCAACGATGGCAACTATAACTTTTGCACGTGAATCCTTGCGCTTCCCCAGGACTGCACTCATTCGTACTGACACACAGTTCATCTAATGATCACCGCACCACAGGGATTCGCAGAATGACAATTGTCTCCTCGACAAAAGACTCTGTTTCTCATGGCACTCCCGCAGAAGCTCGCGTACGTACGAGTGTACACGCAAGTTGTTTTTTCCATAGACGGCGCATTCGCTGAAAAGGTGCTCTCTCTCTCTCTCTCTCTATGCATTCAAAACTCGGCGCTCTGCCTCTCGTGCCTTTCATCCGGGCTTTCACAGACGTCATCGAGGGAAACGCGGAATAAGCACGCCGTGCCCGCCCGTCAAACGGCTAAGCCCGCTCTCCTCCGGTGATGCGCCCTCTTAATTACTTGAGGAGCAGTTCGAGCCACAGGACGTGCTGGAGCCAGCATTCGTGACATCATCAGCCGAGCTTCATTTAACGGGGAAGTCGAGTCAATGAGAGGCTTCCTCCTTACATCGAACTACTGCGCCCCTCTGAAAAATCAAGAGCCTCGTCTCTACACACGTGAACATTGAGGCGCATGTACTTACTTTTACTGACTCTGTACAGTCAACACTGCGTCCATCATCAGTCACGTTTCGCACGTCCGGTCAAATCAACAAAACCACGAGCAATCCGGTGTATTAATAAACCAAGTGCTCTTTGTCCCGTGGCATTCGCCAGATGCGAGTGTGTGCACAAAGCGCGGATTATTTAGTTTCAAAGTTGTTTCACGAGCCTGGAGTTTCAGCCAACTGCCAGCCACGGCGCTTCCCGATAAAATTTACAGTTCTCGGGGATAGCGTAAGAGAGCTGCTTTCCTTTCAGCGATGAGAGATAGAGCTGGGATAATTACTTACTTTTTTTTTCTTTACCTTCGGTCGCGAGTCCACGTTTCGACCAGGAAGTTGGTTAAGAGGCGTTTAATCAGCCAACCGTTGGTTCCCTTTGCTTTCGATGGCTGAGTATTTCGTTGACATAACTAGCGTATATTATAGCAGCGGTCTGGTATATTTTTTTTAGTTTGTATAATTTGTGCACTCCTCGAATAATCTATCGCATTTTGGTAGTTTTTGAAAAATAGAATTCGTCGTAGCTCCGTAGTAGTTTGTATTTTTTGAAAATTGCCATTGAAATGAACATTTGTGATGAACCGTGCATTAAAAGATAAATTAAATTAAGTTTATATCTCATTTTGCAGATCTAAAGGTATTTCAAACGGTTTTACATCGATTTCTAAAATTTTGTTTTTGACAATTTGTGGTTAATTTTATCAAAATGCTCGTTGGATTTTTTTTTTTGTACGTGATAAATTTTTCATGACTAATTGCGTTTATAAATTATAATTCGATACAGTTTAGTATATAAGTTGTTAAGGTAATTGAAATTATTCAACGGACAAGTAAAAAAATGCGAGAGGTAATGCAAAATCTATTTACGTCGTATGTAATAATTTATGATCAATTTTTGTAATTTCGATGAATAATATAATACATGATGATTCGTATTATGTATACTG